CTGGAATCCGGTACCTCGCTGATGACTCCACAACAGCCTCATGGGCAGCGACCCACGAGCAACAACAATGCTGAAGCACACCAGGGTGATGCGATTTGGGCACCCTTGGCCCCAGCGCCCGCCCTGGTTAGGGGTAAGAAAAACTTTCCCCAAACTCCGGTTCGATTCGAGTTGGGGGTTTAGTCTGGCATGGAGGAGAGTGAGAGATCCAGTAGCAGGAGTCGGTTTGGATAGTCTCACATGCCAAAGATAGATTTCCTCGTTTTCATGGGGGAAATGCTCGATGGTGGAAAGGAGTGTGTGACAAATATTTTTCCATGTATCATGTGCCTAGAGACACTTGGGCAACGTTTGCCACCATGCATTTCACAGGCAATGCAATTCTGTGGTTGCAAACTTATGAGGCAGACACTAGTGTAGAAACGGGATATAGTGTCAGTTCATGAGGCCCTTTAGTACCGGTTCTGGGACCGGAACTAAAGGGCGGGGACTAAAGATTCCCCCCTTTAGTCCCAGTTCAACACGAACCGGGGCCAAAGGGCCACCACGTGGCACGAGCCCGCGCCGGGGGCTGGGAGACCTTTAGTCCCGGTTGGTAACACCAATCGGGAGTAAAAGGTTTAGGGGTTTTGGTTTTATGATTTATTTTTCCTTTAATTTTGTGTTTCCATTTAATTTTTTCATTTGCTGGTATTTTACGATACCACATATTGTACACGTTATGCATATATATAAATAGAATTTCTCATAGAACCTATATATATATATGACAAATGTTTCCTACAAGCAGTGGTAGTTACCACCACTTGTATTTTGTATGTTGTATATAGTATCTGTCGAAACTGAGCGTATGTATATGTAGTATTGTCGGTGTCAAAACCGGCGGATCTCGGGTAGGGGGTCCTGAGCCGTGCGTCTAAGGCAGATGGTAACAGGAGGCAGGGGACACGATATTTACCCAGGTTCGGACCCTCTTGATGGAGGTAATACCCTACGTCCTGCTTGATTGATCTTGATGATATGAGTATTACAAGAGTTGATCTACCACGAGATCGTAGAGGCTAAACCCTAGAAGCTAGCCTATGGTATGACTGTATGTTGTCCTACGGACTAAATCTTCCGCTTTATATAGACACCGGAGGGGGATAGGGTTACACAAAGTCGGTTACAAGGGAGGAGATCTACACATCCGTATCGCCAAGCTTGCCTTCCACGCCAAGAAGAGTCGGTTACAAGGGAGGAGATCTACGGGACGAAGTCTTCAATCTTGTATCTTCATAGTCCTACAGTCCGGCCAAAGGATATAGTCCAGCTGTCCGGAGACCCCCTAATCCAGGACTCCCTCAGTAGCCACTGAACCAGGCTTCAATGACGATGAGTCCGACGCGCAGATTTGTCTTCGGCATTGCAAGGCGGGTTCTTCCTCCGAATACTCCATGGAAGATTTTGGACACAAGGACAGTGTCCGGCTCTGCAAAACAAGTTTCACATACCACCGTAGAGAGAATAATATTTCCACAAATATAATCTGCTGACACGCTTGACAGCATGACATCATACTGCGGCCTAGTCATTATTCGAACCGTTTTTCTCAACCAGCACTGCACATATCGAGGCGGTTTTCTTGACACATCTTGTCAAAGCAGAGATCGTGTCCCCTTATCACGTGATTCTCATCAATACAGGTATGGGTAACCCAACCGTGCCATCAATTACGGCGTTCGGGGAATAAGCGATTTTACCAGGTATGTGGGGAGGCGTATTGCCTCTTACGCCCTTATAAAGGGACAAAGATTCACCCTTTTTACCCACGCCTTCTCCCTCCTTGCTTATCCATTCTCATGCACTCGAGCTCCAGCGCCCAAGTTCGCGTCTTTCTTCTCAAACCACTCCAAGCATGTCCGGAGCGGGAGGCAAGTGGATGGTCTCCTCCGTCATGGAGGAGCACGTCGCAAAGCTACGTGAAGCCGGATATCTTGCCGCGGACATCGCGCACCGGCTACCAGATGCGGGGCAGATCGTCCCTACGCCCGCAGCCCATGAGAGGGTAGTTTTCCTTACCCACTTTGTCCGCGGACTGGGATTTCCCCTTCACCCGTTTGTCTACGGGCTCATGTTCTACTACGGGCTGGATTTTTCATGATCTGGCCCCCAATTTCATCCTCAACATCTCGGCGTTTATCGTCGTGTGCGAGGCCTTCCTCCACATCAGGACCCACTTCGGCCTGTGGCTGAAGACCTTCAATGTTAAACCGAAGGTGGTGGTCGGCCAGCAAGCGGAGTGCGGAGGCGCCATTGTGGGCAAAATACCTAACGTCACCTGGCTCGAAGGCTCCTACGTGGAGACCATAAAGGGGTGGCAATCGGGGTGGTTCTACATCACCGAGTCGCGTGACACCAACTAGGTGGAGGCCCCCAAATTTCGATCCGGAATCCCCACGCGGCTCACCTCCTGGAAAGAGAAGGGCATGTCCTAGGGTTCCCCAGTAGAGCTGACCGGACTCCAGACCTACATCAAGAACATGATGAGCAAGAAAATCAAGCTTGTCAACGTGGTCCAGGTCATGCTCTTTCGCCGGATTCTCCTGTGTCAACGATGGGTATTCAATTTGTGGGAGTTCGACCCGGCCGAGCACCAGACGTTGCGAGAGCTCTTCGACACGACTCACAAGGAAGTCTAGAAGGTGCTGTTCAAGGGTGCTGAGGTACCTCCTCCCCTTAGCGAGGACCGCGGACTCAGCGCAAAGCGCCACGCCAATCCGGTAAGTTTTTGTATCTCATAGGATATTTATTTGCCCCAATTTTAATCATGTGCGGGATCTATGCTTCCATGCCATTAACAGGACCGGGTGGAGACAGCGGAGCGGATCAATTGCCCAGCCCCCCTGCTTGAAGATCCTGCAGATGCTCTCCTAACGGAGATGCTGGTTCCGGCGCCTTACGAGGTGCCGGTGAAGAAGGCCACAGGGACCCGAGAGGGTCTCCAGCGCAAGGTTATATCGGACTCATCGTCCGATAACTCCGACGCGCCCTCCTCCCACGAAAACAAGGAGGAGGAAGAGGAAAGTTCTCCCCCTTAGCTAGGGGAGACAAGAAAAGGAAGGCAGACCCAACCGGGGAGGCCGAAGGGTCCAAGAAGGGAAGGACCCTCCTTCCGGACTGCTCCACGACGGCCGCCTACAGCGGCGACGAGTGGTTACCCAGGGATAAGCCCCTGGCGAAGTCGTAAGTATCCGGATACCATAGTAATTCATGGTATGTTTTATTGCACTGCTTCTTCTTACGCCGAATATGATTATGCAGTCCGTCCTGAGCCCGTCTTGACGTATCTTTGTCGGACGGTTCTTTGGACTCGTCGGATATGAATAGTGATTCACTTCCGACCGCCTCCACCCCTTGCCCTACGGACAACATCGAGGTGTTGTCTAAAAAGGCACCAAGCTGAGGGGAGGTGGTCCTGGGGGCGCCTCGAGGCGACCTTCCGGACCCTGGGCGCAAAGGGAGCAAGACTCCCACGGGCTCCAAGTTCGGCCCTCAGCCGAACACTGCGCCGGAACCTTCGGTGGTTCCGGACTCCGGAAGGC